TAACCATCTCAATCGGTGTAACTTCACAGCCTCGTCTATTGATTTCCCCTCCTTACCTACCACTCGACGCCTAACCGCAATATTGCTCACCCTATTATACCACTTAACACGGGAGATAGAACGCAGGCACCTATGATCAAAGACAGCTAGCCTTTTCTTGCCTCCCACTTTCAATGGCCATATCTTTTTCACAGACATAAAGGAGGACAGAGCGAAGTGTTGAGCAGTATACGCGTTTTTTGGTCAATGGCTAGCCGGATATCGTGTCTACGCCAGAGATGGCGTCAGCCGGCGTATGCCAAACAAGCCTTCTGTATCCGTGCTGAGATTTTGTCAGCGATCAACCCGTTGGCGTTGGCTGATGCAACTTCCCAAACAACAAGTGAAGTGGTCAACACGCTCCAGTAACCACTTCACTCCTTATTTCTAAGCTAGGAGTCAATGTAGTCCATTCCTGTAGCATCATCATACATTTAGCGGGAGGGAGTCACATGCCAAACATTCGCAGATTGCAACTGAAGTTGTTCAGAAGACTTTGCATTTTGTTAGCGTCTTCACCTAGAAGGACTATATCATCTGCATATTCTAAGTCAACGAGATTATTCCCTGGTAACAAGTCAGTCCCTGAGTCTTTGGAGTGAGTTAGGGTTAACTCCATTAGTACATCTATGATGAAATTGAATAGAAATGGGGATAGCGGGCATCCCTGACGGACACCGCTAGTTGTCACCAGTTCAGATGACAACTTGCCGTACGCTCTCACCTGGCTGCATGATTTTGAGTAGAGTGCCTTGAACACACATACATACACTCAAATTGACCTGAAATCCATTCAGGCAATTTTTATGTTTGTAGGTTTGATTCACGAGGTGAAATTAGTTGCAAAACTATTAGGAACCCAAGGAGTATTAGACAGCTCTTTCATCCTAGTTAAGGGACTTTTCATCAGTACGCACCCGTTGAGGTTCGTACCTAGAATTCTAGTGAGAATTTGTAGTTATTACAGTCCACTATGTCAGGCAAGAGGACAATTATTCACTTTTGACATCGGCTGGCGGTTGTGTTGTATAGATATCGCGGATCGACACAAGTTGGAATTCATGGGATAGCCATTGGGTGCCTTCCCATCAGAAGGTCTTGAGTTCGAACCGTGTTAGGTGCATACTACCAATGAGTCCCAAACTAGGCAGACGAAACAGCTGTCCAGTACTCCCTGCTAGGTTTTCCAATGCTTCTCTAACTGATGTCAAGTCACAGTCAATCTAATGCCTTAGTTCATCTTACCTAGTAATTCCTAGTGTATCAGTGGTTGAGCGGTAGAACGCTCGCCAACCACACATTTTCCCCGGGGGTTCGATCCCCGGTCAATGCACTCCTAAACTTTGCCAAGCCGGTAGTAAGGTCGGCAAAGAGGGAAGGTTGGGTGTGAGGCTACCAACCTCACCCTGTAAAAAATTTTTTAAAAACACACTACTGCTTCCGAAACTTCAAAGCTCTAGCTCAAGCCCTATGTTCCCCTGGGAACGTAAAGGAAAAATTAATAATAATAATAATAAAGTAATTTCTCATAGCCTTCTGAAAACAAATAGTCCGGATTTCAGTGAACTAATTGTGGTGAGAGCTGTCTGCTAACCAAAATTAGTGGACAGCAATTTACGTCAATGTTTACGTCCCAAATCTTGGCCATGAGAAAAAACAAGAACAAAGACTAACCTTGAGGAACTCAACAACCAATCACAGAAGACTTAGCGTGGGCGGATACGATTCGCAGATATATGGTCTGACCTTCAAAGAAACGGCCACAAAGAGATGACAGAATAACCTTCAGCTAGAAAACAACCAATCAGAAGACGCTGTTTCTCTGCTAACAATAACGCAAATAATAATGTACATAAAAGTCTATAAATATCTCTTGATTTCCTGAAATAAACGATCTGTTCCCTGACCCTTGTCTTCTGTTGTTACAAAATAATCATCACAAGATAACTTCTCTTCTCCAATATGAATATATAATTGAATTGCGTGATAACAAAGATCTTGGCTTTTATATTGCTTCACTTTGCACCCCTATTTCTACTTAAAAAACAACAACATGAAAAACATCAGGCGTCAGCCACTGTGTAGATTTGTTAATCTCTTTCTATGCTTAACTCAAATCCCGTGATGATAATAAATGCAATATGTATATATATGGCTACTCACTGCTGCCACCAAGGAAACAAATACGTGAATTTATATATATGGATAATTTATTCAAACAAATTATAAAAATTTTTCGTCCATATATTTATATATTTGAAGCTCGTATACTCAACACTCATTTAAATATTTTGTTGAAAAACAAAATTTTATTTTGAAAATTATCAGTATTTAGCGAAAGTTTTTGTTCAGAAATCATATGGTCAGTCATGTGATCGGATTAAGATCAGCACGGAATGGAAATTTAGAAAACAATTTTTTTTCCTGGTAAAGCGGTAGTATGCAAACAGGGGAAGAGAGATAGACAGACAAAGACACGAAAGGATACGCGTGGTTTTATTGCCTATCCCTGTCAATTGTAGCATCGTAGTCCGTTGCTATGGTGCTTTAGTGATAAGTTAGGTGTTTTGATATGCTTTTTAAAAGAAATTTGGCAAAGTTCAACAATGGCGTCCCAGGAATGGGAACACACGAGTGACCTTCAACCGACCAATCATAAAAATGCGACACTTTTGCACAAAAATGGCATATGTTAACAAGAAAATGCATGAAAACACGATAAACAGGGTATCTTCCTCTGACATGACTTAAAAATACGTCGCAGTTATAATGAGCAATATCAGTTGCTAAGTTAAACTAGTTCCTGTACATGTATTCACCGAGGTGACTGAAGACGAGCTGTTTTTGTGAATCATTTATCTCTCTCATCTTGTTGTGCAGTCTTCCCCAAAAGCTCTCGGTTGAATTACTATGGTTTCCAGTAAGAGGATCGACAACTACTTACTAGGAAAATGTGGATAAGAAAACAAATTAAAATAAATGGCATCAACTATATATCTATCCCTAATCGTAACCCTAACCCTAGACTTAACACTAACCCTAACTACAACCCTTATCCTAACTGTAAACCCTGAATATAATGCTAATTATGACCCTGATCCTAACCCTAACCCAATACTTACCTCATCTCTAATCCTAACCTTAACGAGCTATTAACACATTGTCGAAACAGAAGTTAAAAACGTGATCTGGGTGAAATTTGCTCCTTAGTTGCTGAATAGCGTTAATATTTCAGATATCATAATAACAGGTGCCGTTAGCCAACGGCTAGCATGCGTTCAAGGTCATTGGAGCGTTCGCGCTACTGGGATGCTGTTGTTGAACTTCGCCAGAAATTTTACTTGAAGAAAACTTTTAAGTCTTGATTTCTAAGGATTTGATTCGTTGATTGATATCAGTTAGAGAACTATTGAAAACCAACAGGAAGTACTGGACAGAGTTGTTTACCTCCTCCTAGTTTGGGACTCATCAGTAGTACGTATCCACCACGAAGGTTCGAACCCAAGACCTTCCGTTCACCATTCAGTCATTACTAGAACCCCAACTCCTCAATGGCCAGAACAGCAATTCTAACTTCTACCAATTTCATGATGAGTTTAGCGCTATCACCAACCACTTTTATCGGTGGGAAATCCACCTTCACTCTCGACTAGATAGACCTCATTGGTCAGGACTTCTCACTAAAACTCCAGAAAACTTCGTTCTATAGCAAGTCACTAACAAGCATCAGATTAATTTTCAAGAGCTGATTTATTTTTCGAGTTTCACCACGGATTGATTGATATCAGTTAGAGAATCATTGAAAAACTCTTTTTTCTGATTAAATTTTCTCTGGCATCATATTCTTGAAGCGTGTTATAACATTTTCTGCACTTTACATCATAAAATGTTGCCTGATGCTGATATCTGAGCATTGTAGAATCGATTAAACGAGGTAACATGTTCAAAAGCTAAACGTGTAATTCTAGATTGTAATGAGATTATTATGCGAATGTATTTTGGATTATTTACTCAAAGGTGACAAAATATATACCCACCGGATAAAACAGATGGCGCCACTTCAAAAAATAAACGTGATATACCATATAATTCCGTCCCCAGCCTCCACCCTACGACCCTACTGCAGTACATTTAACATCAATCACACTGAGAAGCATGGATTATCACTGAGAGAGTGCGACAACATTTTGAAGTAGAAAATATCTAAAATGTTTACAACACAGCTAGATATATTTGGAATGCAATAACGGTGATATTATGTTGAAATATTACCGAGTGGTTTTTAACGGCTTATAGGACAAAACAATGTCTTTATGAGCACTAGTCAGCAAGCTCAAGGGAAGTGATATTCCTTCTGAGTTTCAAATATATATACATATATATGTGTCATTTATTGTTGCAGGCAGATACGTTATCTACCAGGGGTATTCCAGCCAGACTGAAGTTGTCTAAAAACCCACCTCCTTCGAATCGACCTTATTCTCGATGCACCACGGTAGACTCCGTTCAAAGCACCAAAATCTACAGAGATAGGTTCATAAAACCCTGTGTTTGCTTAAACACCCTTGTTGAAATACTATTTTTTTCCTTTGCGTTTTCAGTGGAACATAGGGCTTCAAGCTAGAGGCTTGAAGTTTCTGTAGCAGCGGTGATTATTTTTACAGGATGGGATTTCCGGCCTCATATGCCCAACCTTCCCTCTTTACCAGTTTTATTATTGGCTTAGCGAGGTAAAGGAGGGCCTTGTCGGCCTGGGATCGAATCCTGGATCACCTGCGTGGTTGGCGAGCATTCTACCGCTGTGCCACTAACGCACATCGTCGAAATATGGAAGATCAAACTTGTAGTGATCACTTTGAGCATTTTACCACGATACCCTTCTTCAGATACCAACAACAACAGCTCCAAATATTTGTAAGTAAAAATCAATATCATTCAATCAATATCTACTTAAAACTTACTGAATACAGGAACATTTTGACAAAATTATCTGGAACCATATTCCTAAAATAATCAATAATTGATATGGAGAAATTAAATTTAACAAAGATTACAAAATACTACATTTCTATATCAGAAAATAAAAAAAATATTTTTTTTTAAAATACACAAACATCCACAATGACGGTAAGAGAAAATATTTTAATCTAAGTCGTTTCTTGGAAATGACCATCATGGATGGTTTGCTTCTAAGGCATCTGAGGAATTTTTAATTTGAACTCAGTTATGATAGTAATAACCCAATTATCCAGAAAAGAAACTGTGTGTAGACATTGTTAAAAAAAAAAGAGTTCAAACACACTGTAGTACTACTCCAGTGTTGAAGAGAATGGAAGAAAAATAGCTACGAATCGTCTTCAAAGAGAATGCATATCCCCCTCACAATTTCTTCGAAAAGTGTTTAAAATCGAGTCATAACACCAACAATAACAACAAGCCAACATCAAAGATCACAAGAAAATTCATCCTACCATATATAAAAAATATCTCTGAAACAACAGCTAGAATATTAAGACCACATTGAAATAGATATAGCACACAAACCAGCCAGCCGGCCAGCAGAATCACTTCATCTGATATTGTGCAAATCAAAAGATCCAACAGAAAAAGAAGATAAGATCACCAATACCATTTACAAAATAAATTGCATGCATGAACTGCAATAAACAATACATCGGCTTAAGCGGGCGTCCCCTTCGAATCCGAATCCAAGAACACAAATCGGCTGTAAAAAGACATGATATACATTCTTTCATATCAATGCATGTGGATAATTATGGACACCAATTTGATGATTGGGATAATGTCAAAATTTTCGACAGAGGAAACACCAAAACTGCAGTGAGAGAATTCCTAGAAGCCTAGTACTCAAGCGAATCAGCGATTAACAAACATATTAATATAGACCAAATTGACCAAGTAATAAAAAGCAAATCATGTGACAAGAAAGTTCAAATTCCAAGTCAATAAAAAAAGATCAATACAGATGCAAATCGACTAACAGTCACAAAGATGGTTGCCAGGATCCACATTTTATCCTAAAACTTGCACTGAAGATGCTGTCCAGAAGGACGACGAAAGCCCCGCAATTATCCAACCAGCTCAGAGAACAAAACTAATTGCAAGACAGTAGATTTTTCGTGTACCAACACGCTGAAAGCCATGCTTATCATTTTTCTAATGAGTGCAGATACCAGACAGTTGACCTTGGTGAAGTAGTTTAAAGATGGGAGGTGTGGTCTGCGTTAGCAATTGAAAACTTTGATCACACGACTCTCTTGTTATCAATAAATCAGTTAGTTAGTGAAATAAATGTTTGTTTTTTCGCCATTAAAATTTAGTGTTAATCAACGGTCACATTTGCGGTGACCGTTACATAGCTGCCAAGACTTCGGTAAGGGGTGATGGTAGCTGAAATCCCCGAATCACAAGTCGGATGTGGATTCTCTAGATCTTTTTTTTATTTCCTTCACGTTCCCCAGTGAAACATAGGGCTTCAAGCTAGAGGCTTGAAGTTTCTGTAGCAGTGTTTATTTTACAGGATGGGGTTGCTAGCCTCATGCCCAACCTTTCCTCTTCACCAGTGTTATTTCTGGGTTAGCGAGGTAAAGGAGTGCGTCGGTCGGGGATCGAACCCCGGATCATGGGCATGGTCGGTGAGCGTCCTAACCACTATGCCACCGACGTAGATCCAGATCTAATCAGTAGGAATCCAATTTTCACATTGATGTTCTATATATCAATTACTGCTATTGATGTCGCTGGTGACCAACACTTCATCCGTGTAACAGCACTCAATTGTCTGTGATAAGCACGATCAAGAATATAAGTATCATAAAGATTGTAGGTCAACCACGCCTAAAGTTGGTGTACCGATCACCGTCTACGGAAAAAATTAGAAAGAGGTTAATTCCTTGACTTATCTGGATAGGGAAAATCGGTTCAACTACAGGTAGTCAGCACGGATGAGGATGTGGAAACTATAATCGGGAAGGTAAAACAGACGACAGACAATCATCACTCTGAAAATCAGTCCGAAAATCCGCCGCACTCAAAATAAGGAAAGAAATTCTAATTTTCAACACCAATTTCACGTCAGTCACTTCTATATGCGGTGGAAACTTGCTCTAAGTGTCACCAAAATAATTTCTAAAAGGCAACAACAGACGTTCATCAACAACTGCCAACTTTGATGGATCCATACTGGAGATTAGATGGCCGACTGGTCAGAAAGAACTAGCAACAAGGAACTCTCGGAATGAATCAATCAACAACCTATTGGTCAACAGATGCATTGAAGAAAATGGAGATGGACAGACACAGACGCACGTCACTGAAGGGACTGTCAAATGACATTGCACAACAGGTTATCACTCGAGTGGAATCCGAGATGGAAACGATGAATCGGGAGTAACATGAAGGAGACTGTGCAAGGAGGAGATGAGAGACTAAGGGTAATCTTGAGGCCAGCTAAAGAGGACGGCTGACCTATCCAACCTTCAATTTGGCTAGAAATGTAACATATATCATGTATTTTTCCTTAATAAGAAAGGTCCGTTACCAAGTCTCTTACTTTCTGCTGTTAATAATATACTACTATCCTTCGAAGTATGATAACTTGCTTTATGAAAAGCTTCCAGACGTTTGTCGTTGGAGTGATTGAAAATAAGCAAACATTTTTTGAAGCCTAAAGTAATTTGTTGGATACGCCGCATTTCATCCTATTTGGGACTCGTCAGCCAATAGATGTACCTACGTTCCCCAGTGAGCGATGGCGGCGTTCTCGCTTGAGACTCACTCTAACCCAGTAACCATCGTTCCAAAGGCCGAAGCGTCTATCCACTAGACCACTTGGGCCACGAGAGACATCACTTTTCGTACAACGGGTATCAGTTACTCTATTTGTTTTTCAATCCACTTTTGGTTTTCCTGTTGACTGATTGGAACGAAATGTCCTAGTAAGGATGCTTTGACGGTGTCTGAGAATTACCTTGACAACGTTTCGGAGTCTGAAACGATGGTTACTGGGTTCGAGTGAGTTTCAGAGGGAAGGCCATCATCACTTACTGGGGAATTCAGGTACATTCACTAACTGACGACTCCCAAATAGGAAGGAAGGAATTCGCATTCTGGATTCCACTGCCAGTCAACATCTACCAAATTACTACAAGTTGGATCTTCAGACATCGTCGAAGTAAGTATCTGTGCTAGGAGCCGAAATACCGATAAAGGTCGAGTATCTCGGTCCATTCAGTCAACGGGAAAATCAAGGCTAAATTGAAAGTTTTTTTTAAAGACCTATTATACATGAGGAGATATGAAGTTAAAATGTAATTAAAGCACTGATATAACAGCCAAACGACGTCTTCTAAAGCGAAGCATCTTGAATAGACAAGTGAACAGGAAAAGTTAGACGAAATAAATATAACACAGTTAACTCCTTGAAGTAAGAGAAGAAAAATTTTTCATGAAGACTAAATGAAGACTGGAAAAAGTTCAAAGATCAAAAGAAAAACAAAAAAGTATTCGAAATCAAGCATATTTACTTTAGAAAAATAATCCTCAGATTAATTCTTTACGAATTTTAAGAAAAATAAATCAATAAATGGTTTACAAAACCTTAGACATATCAAAATTTCTGTGTCTGGATTAAAACCTGACTCAATTCATAAAAGCTTATACTTTTCGTCAGATGTTATGCAACCTTTTTGAATATTACGCTAAATACACTATCGAAAAGAATTTGATAAATTTTTAGGTATTATTGTTCCCTTGGGTTCTGAGTGGAACATAGAGCTTCAACAGCACACCTTGATTTTGGCGTATTTTCTGCGGTCTTTTTCAGCTAGCCCAATGATTGCTCATAGTCTCTCATCTCCTCCTCCTTCTCCCCGTCGCACAATCTCCTTCATGTCACTCTCAGACCAACTCCCAACTCGTCGTTTCCAACTCGGAATCCACTTGAGTGATGACCTGTTGTGTGATGTCATTCGACGGTCTCTTCAGTGGCGTGTTTCTGTGTCTAATCCATCTCCATTTTCTTCAATACATCTGTTGACCAATAGGTTGTTGATTGATTCATTCCAAGAGTTTCTTGTTGCCGATTCTCTCTAACCAGTCGGCCATCTTATTTTTAGTATGAATCCAGCAAAGTTGGCAGTTTTTGATAAAAATCTGTTATGGCCTGTTAAAAATGATTTTAGTGACGTGTAAAGCAATTTTCGCAACACACATAGAAGAAGTGTTTCAGATTTTTATGTAATGTAGACAATTTACTAAGAATATCTGAACTTCATGTGTGAAGACCAATCATCAAATACAGACAAATTGCAAATGAGCCTATGATGGAAATATTCTGGTAGTTCAAAGTTCAAATTTGCAATTGCTAACAAATATATTTATGCGTACATAAGATAATTGAGGTTATCTGTCGTTATTCGTAGGACTCTATCTACAATTCGTGCATAGCCCACAAACGTCGGGCTGATGGAGTCAGCTGTGATTATACCGTAAGCACAATAAATTATTATTATTGTTTCCTTTAATTCCTAGAGGAATATAGGGCTTCAGCCGTGCGTCTCCATTGCGTTCGGTTCTCTGCTAGAGTCTTCACATGGCTCCAAGTCTGCCCACACGTTTTCATCTCCTCTTCACATCACCTCCTCCAAGTCACCCTTGCACTGACGACCAACTCGCCGCTTCCCTTTCGGGTTCCACTCGAGCAATGGCTTGTCTAGTGATGCTACTTGATGGTTTCCTCACAGTATGGCCAATCCATCTCCATTTCTTCCTGCCTATTTGTTGCACAGTCGGTTCCTGGTTGGTTCGCTCCCAGAGGTCCCTATTGCTGATCTCTTCTGGCTGGCCATCTGATCTTGAGTATTGAGCGAAGACAACTGTTGATGAAGGTCTGTAGTTTGCTTGAGATGCTCTTTATGACGCGCAGTGCAAGTCTCTTATCCGTATGTTAAGTAGCACTGAATTCACATTGGAGTTGAAAATCTGGATCTTAACTGTACTTGACTGTAATATTATTATTGTTGTTGTCGCTTGTTAACCTTATTGTTGTGAATTATTTTCCTGTGCTGCTGTTGTTCTGATTGTTTTATTCCTTGTTTTCCTGGTTTTAAGGGGAGAAACCCACAAGCACAATAAAGCTTGGATATAATCACATAGTTGACAAAATTCTGAGCATACTTGCATGGAATTACAAAAGACAGCTATATCCTACCTAGCACGACGAACTGAGTTATGCTGAGTAGAGATAATCTGAGAAGTCTCAAAACTACAGCTTTTGAATGGAGATAAGCGAAACATTTTTTATAATTTTAATAACGATATTTTAATGCCAGGACCTTGGTCTAAACAAACCAATAGTAAACTAGTTACTCCCGACGATGACCAAAAGGCTGACACCCCAAGAAGTCAGTGTGCCTTTCCAAAGTCACAGTAATTTCGAAAACTGAGAGAAACGCAATCCTGGGAAATGCTTACACTCTAAAAGGATCGAATATGTAAAGTTTGCTCAGATTTATACCTGGCACATTGTATTAATAGACGATGTAATGTACTGAAGTTAAGTGAAAAGTGCTGCAACGGTAGTGCAAGTCCGAAGTTCAATGATTCCTGAACCTGTTTACACAGAAGCACCGAACTGAACTAACTGTTTACAACATTCATAACCTCAGTATGTGGTCAAATGACTCGGAAAAGCCGGATATTATCGACATTACGGAATTGTGGATAACGCCTGAAATCGATTTCATCGCAATGCATCGTATTCTTGACAGAGCAATAGACGATTTTCCAATGCATTATGATTCACAGCATTTTTCTTCAACTTTAGACCTGTCTGTCTCACACAGTGAGGGTGTAAACTTCATACACTCCTAGGAAGAAACGATCACTCTGTGGTGACCTTTCAATTCAAAATAGCTGCAGTATCCCTGGGACAAAACACTACCTCGACCAGCCGATATAAATGCTGTCATTTCTGCAGCCTTATTAGAGGGCTGTACTGTAGATCCGGAAGCTCATAAGAAAGCTTCATAGAGTCGATTCATGCAACTGTACACCCAGATGACACAACCCTACGTTCTATGGACTGTCTTCAGTGGTCTAAAACATTGGACCCCACTGACTTAGGCATAAATACAAATTCTGGGACGCGTTTATTTCCCTTGGGACTTCTGAGGATAGGACGCCGTACACTGCATCTACAAACAAATTTATTGGATGAATTCATCGATTGTGGGTGAAATTCGGAATGCATCTAGCTCAAAACTCAATTTATTCCTACGTGAACCTCAGGAATAAGACGTCAAAGGGCGTCCCCAACTTGACTTCTGACACAGACACAATCGAAGAGGGCAAGAGAAGGCTGGAACAATGGCAGACTACTTCTCGGAGTTTTCATATAGAATTCAACGGAAACCACAGCATTAGTTCCTGTCACGCTTCGGGAAAACGTGGTGGGTTTTGTTAATGTCGACCAAAACATTGTATCCCAAATCCAAAGAAAACCAGATACAAGAAAATCAATGGGATCTGATGACTTTCACTCAAGGCTTCTCGAGGAGCGGTGGCTCACACTGATTACTGTTTTTAGGCTATCCGTCTCACACGATGCGTCACCGGGTGATAGGAAGGACGCACTAGTAACCTTCATCCGCAAAGGAGGGTCTAGACACTGTCCTTCAAAAACTGCACGCCTATCAGTCATACGAGCATCTTGGTCAAGATACTGAGAAGAATAATCGAGGAAGCTTTAAACTCCTAAAATTAGCTGATGCATGTAATAGGGAACAAAATAAATCACAAGCAAGTAATGATAGACAAAGATGGCAAAAATTAATCTTGTCCGTTTATTGAATTCATAGACGTATTGCTAGTGGGACAGGAGTTAACCGCACCAACCGGTGTTCACAGCTGTAACGACAGAAATTCCTGACTCAACATCTGACTTCCCATTATGCATATTTTAAAGTTCAACTATTGAGTTACAAACAGTCACAACAGACTTAGCATAGCCATAACACGAGAAACTGCGAGTTATACAAAAAGCAAAATCATATGCAATAAACAAACCTGAAAAAATCCATGAATACATCAGATATCTCAACTTTATTACGATCTTCGGGACTGGTTTGAGATGATAAGGAGTTGGACATAAATCTGCCTCCTAAAAACTTCGTCAAAAATATGAATTTATAAACCTGGGTTGATAAGTGCCGTAATGCCTAAGCCAAGAAAAGACGCGACAATATTCAAGCCAACACAGTAACTCAAGGCAAGTATAGCCATTTTACCTTGGACAGAGGGTTTTAATTTAGACGACACTAAAATTAACCGTGTTATGAATCTTTCAAACAATAAAAAATACTGGTGATTATATTGCCCGTGAGGAGAGGTATGACTGCAAAATTCAGCGACCTGATGAACAGTTCACCGGGGAGGCCTGTAATTTAAGGAGATGAAATTTCAGCTTACCTATCCACAAGAGAACTGACTCAGGAACAGGGAAAACCTTTAAAATTGCACCCAATGCAAGACCCAGTATAATTCCCAAGAACATGCATATAATAGTTACATTTCCCCGTATAAAGTTCTTCAGTGACCGAAACTTTCTACTCATGTAGGAATGAAAATTGCAGGTGGATCCATGACTAAAATCCATGATTTCTGCCCAAAACTTTGAAAAGTCCGATACATTTTAGGTCGACTGCGCGTCTAACATCAATGAATCCAAACAAACTGTATCACTGAAATTTAAACCTAATATTTTTTTAAGTGTACGGTAACTCTTTTTTAATTATGCCAATAATCTTACCTAACAGACTAGTACTAACAGTACTGCTGTTGGTCATTTACCCGTCACTATTCTACATGTAGGGCTAGAATTAAGGGAGGTGGGCATTACCGATTTCCCTATCCAATATCCAATATCGTTTTTACTAGCTAGTATAAACCAATTTGATTTCTTTGTGCTTGCGTCTTCATTGTTAGGTATAGGTTCCTGATCTTCGGTAAACTTCTGCGTAGCTCGTCCCGCCACTCGACTTTCGTAGATTTGGTTAACTCCAAAAGTAGTAGTGCTGGGATTAATTTATTTGGTTTGTAGTATGAGGTATGTTAAGACTGTTTCTACTGTGAATGGAGTTGATCCTTTCACCAGTTAGTCCTCCGGTGTCGTCGTCAAAATAAAAGAGATAATAATGATGATAATAATAATAGACATAATTAGTGAAGTTATTCAGACTAACACACAGAAAAAGAAATAAAGAAAACCTAACATCAGTTAGCTGATTTAATTTGAAGAATAATATGAATTATATATATCGGTAATAATGATAATAATAATGAGTGTAGTTAAAGTTGTCAGGAGAGTAAGACGGGAGAGAATGTAAAGAAGTAAAACGTCGAACTTAGTTGTCTACCCCTGAATGGTGTACGGGATTTTAAGGGGACAGGCCATTTGGACTCAGTACTTGTGTCACTGCATGATTGTCCAGCCTTCCCTTAAAGGCATTCACAGACGGTGCCATAGCTACATCTGCTGGTAAGGAATTACAGGGACGGCAAACCCGCGGGAAAAAGAAGTGGGAGCGCACCCGGGTCCTTGCCCTCTGGTGAGCTATCCTTCTGGGATTCCCACGAGGAAGCCTATACATACTCGATGGCAGAACACCTTTGTTTGGGTGATTCTAATCATTTGTTATTTTGTAGGCAGTAATTAAATCCCCCCTAAGACGACGGTAACTAAGTGTGAATAGGCCTAATTTCTTCAGCCTTTCATCATATGGTTTATTTCGGAGACCAACCACTCCTTTTGTTGCCCGTCGTTGGACTCTTTCCAAGAGGTTGGCGTCTTTTCTAAGCATTGGGGTGCAATAATATTATGCACTTCAAGGTGTGGTCTGACGTATGTTTTGTACAACCTTAGAAAGAGCTCAGGAGTGAGTGCACCTAATTGTCTATGTGTAAAGTGTATGACCCCTACTGTTACCTTCACATAGTTGCAGAGACACTTGATTTACCACTTCGCTGAGTGACAGGGGGCGGAGCATAGGTAAAATCGTTTGTTGGTTTTTACTGTAGCCAATATCCAGATCGTTTTTTGTGAGTTAGTGTAAACCAATTTGATTTCTTTGTACTCGCTTCTTGGCTGTGAGGTAAGGGTTCCTGGTCTCCGGTAATATCTGTTTAGTTAGTTCCGCCACTCGGCTGTCGTAGAGTAAGACAAGAGAGAATGTTAAGTGCAGCAATGAGTTTAGGTGTCTCCCCATTAATACCTGTGAGGTCTTAAGAGGGTATGCCGTTTGGACGTAGTCCATGCGTTGCTGCATGATTGTCCAGCGTAAGCTTAAAGCTGTCTACGGATTGTGCCGTAGCTATATCTGCCACGGACAGCAAACTCTCAGTGAAAAGAAGTGGGAGCACGCTCAAGTCTTTGCCCTCTCGTGAGCTGTCCTTCGTGAGTTCATACGTGGAGGCCCGTATGTACTTAGTGGCAGAACTACTTTGTTTGGGTGATTCTGGTCATCTGCAATCCTAGAAAAATTAATCGATTCCCCCTAAGACGACCGTAGCTAAGTGGGAAAATACCCAATTTCCTTAGCCGTCCATCATATGGTTTCTTTCAGAAACCCATCACCCCTTTTGTCGCCCGTCTTTGGACTCTTTCCAAAAGGTTCGCGTCCTCTTTAAGCGGTAAAAGTGCTGTGATATTCTGCTCAGGAGAAAGTGCGCATAATTATTTGTGTGTAAAGCGTATGACTGCATATAGTGTAGCAAATTCCCCCGTGTAATTCACGCTTGTGTCCATTCTTTCCATTAGAACTAGAACTAAGTCACACTCCGATGTTTCACAGGACAAGCTTCCGTTGCACAGAGTCTGACTCGAATTCTGCGGCCTACAGGCGCGTAATTGCATTACTTTGCACTCTTTCAGGTTGATAGTCCTACCATTAGCCACCACGCAGTCTTTCAGAAGTTTTAATTCTGCCTGCAGCCTATCTGAGTCCTCCTGCACTTTATTGCTCCCCAAATCTCTACGTCTTCAGTGTAAAGAAGAGTCGGGAAGCTTAGATAGCATGATAGGTCATTGATGAAAATCAAAACATCGGTGGCCCTAGGATACAGTCCCGCCATACTCCTGGTGACGAGTAGTGGCAGGATGATGGGACATGACTGACCTTAGTGCAGAATTTCCTTTTATCTAGTTAGTCCTCCAACCATGACAGAAGCAGCCCACCTTCATATGCCTTACTTAATTTGCGTAGGAGAAGGTCATAGTGAACTGTGTCAAATGCCTACTCTAAGTCGAGGAAGATAACATGAGCTAGAGCATTCATATCCTAGCATGACGTACAATCGTCCCATGCTGATTGTGGGTTTGTTACACGTGATCTACCTTTCCTGAAATCATGTTGTGCTTCATGGGGTCTGTTAGTTTTGTCAAGGTGATCATCAGTTAGACTTTTCAGTACTTTTGGCACCACTAGGGGTAGCGCTACTGGTCTACAACTGGCTGCCCTCACCCTTGAAAATAGGTGAAAAATGGCTCTTTTCCACTCTCTTGGCAGATTTTCTGAATCTACTGACTACTGAAACAGTTTGCATGTGGGTCTACATAGAGCTTCAGTACATTGTTTCGGAACGGATGGCCCATCATCTTCACAACATGGGGATTTTCCATATGTGGATCTCTATAGCTTCTCAAGCACCACTGCCAGTTTTATTTGGAGTGTAGTCACTAGGTTTTCCTTCGGTAAAATAGTAGTGCCGCCATTTTGGCCTACATCAGTAGTACCCACATTGCTGTATAACTGTCAGGCAAAGGCTGAACTGAGTGCTTCAGCCATTCCCAAGCTAGTGAGCTGGTGACTGTTTGAACCTACCAAGACGCATGCCCCTCGGTTGGTTTTCTTTCCGACACGAATCAGTACGGGCTTTTGGAGTTCGCAGCAGATTTTCGCAAGATTCGCCAGAAATGACCACCTGTCACTCCTGAGTGATTTGTCGCGCTGGTTCCTGTGTTCCAGGTATGCATCGTGGTCGGTCCGACCCTTGGAGTTTCACCACGTAGACTAAGCCTTCCGCTTTGCTTGCGGAATACGTTGAGTACCTCTCTTCATCCATGAGGACTTTTTCTTCGGCTGTGTTGTGATTAGAGGGACGGTATATGGGAATGTTGTGTGAATAATATCTTTCAACCAACTCCCAGTGTTCGTTCATGGATAACTCAGTCCGATCTATGGGCCATTCTGCATCGGATAAAAACCTTAGCATTTCTACACAGTCAGCCTTGCTATATGACAGACATAGTGGCGTAGCATCCCACTGTAAGCGCTCACGGAGAACAAGATCGAACTCTATGACGGAGAAGTCATTACAACCTGGGGGTCATGATTTTAGATTAGTAGCTGGTCACTGGTTAGAATACAATCTGTTTTCGATGACTACATTAGGGCCCCACCTAGTATCGCCTCCAAAGTTCACAGTCAGTCCTGTATTTCTAATGGTTTGGGTAGGATTTTGACTGAATTTTCCCTGAGCATACCCGAGGCTAATGTTTAGGGATAGGTCACTGAGGTCTTCAGCTTTAGTAATTCTGTCGTAGTTTAAGATCAGTATCCCTGTAACGGTACTGAGCAGTAGCTGATTGTGCTCCACCCAACGGGTGAGTGATCGGCAGATGCCACCCAGTAAATGCTTGGCATAGCCTACGCTGACATGACGGTGTGATCTGAGAGGCCAGGTTAGTATACCACTTGGAAGAAATGAAACATATTTTCTCGATGGTCTCAACTGAATGTGACGCCTATGATTGTTGCGTGGACATCAATATTGATACACTTGCTTTGGGGCTCACGAATGGCTATCTTATATGAGAACAGAACTTTGACACTTTTGTGGCATAGTTACATCATAGAGTAAATTTATTCCATACAATACATGTTATTACACAATATTATTTATTGATGACGTTTCGAGAATAATTTATTGATCGTGATCATAAAAATTTAGCTAATTACAGAATGACTGACCCCATGAAGATGAATAACTGAGAGACAAACTCAGCAATATCATGTAAGTATTAACACACCTACAAGGTAAGGCGGACAGGGTTAGAATTCTAAAGCGTAACATAGGTATTTCAAGGGGAAGTTGACCACTGAACCTTTGTTCATCGCACTTACACCTAACACAAGCAACAGGAGTGGCTCAACATCAATACCAGAGACATAGAAAATATTACTATCGATCAAACCAAACGATAAGAAACAGTGCTTGACTTTGTCTTATTTCAGTTTACGTCATCGCATTTTAAAATATTTTCCTACGGTACAAACTTTGTTTCTTGTCTTATTACATTCACATTTATCGTGATGCCTTATCCTTCCCTTGACTTTATCACGTATGCCTACTGAAATTTATATCGATCTTTATTCATTCGTTCATATGTTAAATCGATTTGTAACTCATGTATGTAAACGAAGTTGAAAAGTAGTGCGAATGCCTTGGTATTATTATAATCAATAAAATGTGCTAGTAACGTCATCAGAAAATAATACTGTCTAACTGCGCGATTATATCAAAACAATTCATTCTGTGATGGTATCGGTTGACTCTTCAGATCATGGTAGCATGTTGGCCATTTTGCTGTTAATACCAACCCAACAAATTAAGTTAGAATTTAGTCCTTGTGGACATTCAGGGACGTAACAAGCCTACGAGAGTAATGAGAAAATATATAGATGCACAATCGCAGGGCAAGTCGGCGACCAGGCTTCTCGTTCATTGAAAACCCGATTGTCTGTGGTGTGCCTTTTTTGGTCTGTTTCAAAATGATCCTCGGT